TATTTTCACGGCTGATCAGCTGTGTGAAAATATCAGTGTGGAGTATCACGGGCGACCATTAGGAGACATGGGATAAATATAATTAATAATTGAAATAAATTGAAAAATGATGTGAAACATACATAGATTTGAATACACGGATAAGTTTAAATGCGTCGTAATAATTTCTTTATTAATCGTAAATTTATACAAATATCTGTTGAAAACACTGTACGTATGCAAAACCGATAATGCAATTCAGGTTCGTTCGTTCAAATGAGTTCGATATTGCCAAAACTGGTCCAATTTTTTAGTCGCGTTTTGCAAAATTAAAAGTTTTCCCAGTTAAATCTCTTAAAATTTATGGTAAACTTATAGTTAAACATCACAATCATCACATATCTATATAGTGATAGTATAGGATGCATTCATATTGCTATATTATATTTATTAATGGTAGAATACTCTTATATAGCAAATGTGTATTATGTTTACAATTAAAATTATAGATACTGCAATTTTTCAAACAGCTATTTAATATTTTATATTATTAAATATTTTTGAATTGTTCCAATCAGCAGCCGTTCGAAGTTGTTTGACTTTATTCATTGGTGAATTATGGATTTTGGATTTCAGATGCTCCAGAAGTTGCTTATAACCTGTTTGTTTTCGAGAAAGTATACGATGAAACGCATGCATACCTAACCTATACAAAAATCAAGAATATAATAACGTTTAGCAAGACAAAAAAAAAAACAAAAACAAAAAAAAATCTATACGTGCCAGGACACTTCGGGATGTGAAAAATTTGATTTAGACTTATTAATTATCACTCGGTATGCACAATTAATTGTATTTTGCATTACATCTGCCAAAGTCATTTTGAATTTGCATTTAATTATAAATGGTATTGACAATACAATAACCAAACTAAGACCTTAGCCCTAAAAACAATTTTCAGAATACAACCAAGCCATACTCATAACAATAATTAATACCTATTTCAAAAGCTTCATTCCTTAAGTCACCTCGTCGCGATAGACATTTGACGTAGTGATGAAATTTCATAGCCGTCAGCAAAAAATTTTGGTAAATGTTAAGTAACACAGTTGCTCTGGTGTTGAATGATGCGTCATTGTATATTGGATGACACCTCTTGGTGACGATGCTAATTTGAAGATATAATTTATATACATGCATAAAAATAATAAACGAAATGATATATAATATTTACTCAATCATCTTCTGTCTAAATACTTCACCGGGATGTCTTGATGTATTTACTGTTAAAGTATCTGCAATATCTACATGATTTATTAAAATACATAATGAGTAACGTGCGTACGTACATCAATATATAGAATAACAAATTAAAAAGACCTACACGAAAAGCTATATCGCATATAATCAACTTTACAATTCAATGAGGATGTATTAATTAAAATCCCACACCACGGAAAATCTAAAATCCATTTTTATATAGATTAAAAAAAATTTTTTAAAGTTAATAAAACCAAAAATATTTAATTTACCACGCGTATTACTCAATTTCTCTATCGGCTCCCCATCAATGATAATATCAAAGTTTGTTAAACTCTTTTCTTTGTTAACAACACAACTATATTTCGGATGACCTAAAATAACTTATTTAATAAAATTACAAAAATCTCATTCAGGATTTATTGCAATTTTTACCTTTATGCATTGCAGTTATAAATCTTTCAACTTTTTTTTTGTCCGTACTTATGTACAGTGAATCGTCAAGAAAACGTAACATGACCTGTGAACTCAATCTTTAGTCAAGAGAACACTAAATTTACTAAAATTGACACCTTTACTTACACCATCATCGTGTTCTACAAAAGGAAATAATTCCCATTCCATCTTATTATAATAAAAGCTAAAATTGATTATGAATTACATATATATATATATATATATAAAATACATATATAACAAGTCCATCAAAGAAAAAAAATAATATTTATTATATCAGTACAAACCTACAAAGCAACGTCGATACGACCGACCCCTGTGGAATGCCGACACACTTTTTATAAAACTTGTTCCCAATCTACGTATTAATAAACATAGCATATTTTTATATTAGGCAACGACAAATTATACAACATATATAGCAGTTTCGGAATCATACTTTTATTAAATTGTACTTTATATGCTTTTCCAAAAGACCAAGTATATCATTCTTATCTAGAAACGACTCTTTAACGCGATCAACAAAAACCGAATTTGGGAATTTTTGTGCTGATTTTCTTGCAAAATTCGGAAAATCAGGAAAATCATCTATAATATCATTTAATGTAAATAACACAAGCGTAAACGTAATAATTAAAAAACTGGATACTATAGTACCTGATGAGTTGGCATAATAGTTATAACGTGCACGCACTGCACCACCTTTTTGGCAAACCATATCATATTTATGAATTGCATATTCACTCTAAAATAAAAAAAAAAATGTTATAGTTACTTTTTCTCTAATAATGCGTAAATAAAAATAAACTTACTTCTTTTAATACATCTTTAACTATTTCCAAGACTTGATCCTGATTAATTGATTCAAAACAACATTTAACATCCACTTTTGCAAAATATAACTTGGATTTATTTTCACCAAGCTTTTGTTTAAAACTTTTCAAACGTTCGTAAATTTCATTAAAATTGAACACTGAACCGCCCAGCTTAGAAGAATCTTTGTCCGATAATTTCATATCCTGAAATTGAACATTCGTTAAATTTAGCAAATAAAATCTAATTATAAAAAAACATCCTGAAAATTACAAATGTCACCTTTTCGTATGTTAATGCTTGAAACGCATCTCGTAAAATTGCGTTCACAGATTTCTTCTGCACTCTTCCATTGGACATCTAATATCCATTTACCAGATAAAAGTATTATAACTAAATTAGTCAAAATTAACACCAATAAATCAAAATGCCTTAAAAAAAAAAAGATACTTTTTATTTAAATAACCTTTAGCGCACTACTCAGATTAATAACAGGTCGCATCGTTCCTTTCAAATTGTTTGGAATAAATCGCATAGAAGAATATCCCCAAAAGCTTTTGTTCAATAATTGTTTCTCATTCTCCTGCAAATAAAGCATAGCAATCAATTACTAGCATGTGAGGCATCATCAACCTTCAACTAATTTCATTAAATTAAAGATGCTCTAGATTCACTCCAAGTTACTCCAGGTTGCTCCAAAATTTAGACATTTTTTTAAACCGCTCCAACTTGAGCCCGGTGCCTCTAGAGTATACCACTTTCTAACTAAAAGATGCGTTTTTTTAATTATGAATTTACGCACTTTGGGAACTTCTTCAAAGGTGCCTTCTGTCAATGATTCTATACCGCTTTGTTCAATTCGTAACCAGATATCGTGACGATAGTAAAACACGCGATTCTTGTATGTTGCGTTGGTAGTTATATAGAAAGTATTCTGAAAAATGTGAATGTACAAAATAAATGTATTGACAGGAAATTTGAACCAGAAAGTACCAGAAATTCATAAATTTCTTACTTGAAGCAACGGAATAACAAAACAATCAAATATCCACCAGATAAATTCATATAATAGTTCAGTACGCTTATCAGCTTCGATCTTGTTTTTTTTGTGACCCTCTACAAAAAGCCACTTGCATTGCGTAATCTTAATGTTCAATGGATAAATAATATTTAACCTTAAGACTGATATGCTATGTGAATGACGAAATAACTAAACAAAATTTTATACTTTGAATTTATTTAAAACATAGTGCAGAGAGAGCACTTCATAACGCCTGAGCGCGACAAACTGTTCTATAGCTATAAAAATAATAGTAATACTTAATCACACTAATGATAAACATTTCAATTGTTCAAAATATATTACCTTTAAAAATTATTCGTTGATTGTCATCACAACCCCAGAACTCCTTCGGAATTACGTTTCGCAAAACTGCACAAACAAATGTGGTAATCTAGTTTATTGAATATAAACAAAAAGCTTAGATTACTAGAAATAAGGATATCAAATCACAAAGATTCTTCATCATAATAAGAAAATACCTGATATAAATTTGAATAGGAATTCAAATCCTGGGTGTGAGGGTTATTGACTGTAGCAAGAGCGAATAACTTTTTTTGCACCTGTTAGAATCAAAAGTATCTATATAAATTAATATTCACATCAATTTGTTTGATTTTGTGATTGAAATATTTTCCCACCATCACAGGACAATATCTGTTAAGTAACGCTCCGTATTGACATTTTTTATGGCGTGAAATCATCCGGTCTATCATGGGCAACACTTGAATCAAGCGAGGAGGTATATCATCATTAAATTTCTAAGAATGAATCGCATCATTAGCATTCACATTTGATGTCTAGTCAATATATATGATTTGATTATTAAAACCTTAATCTCAGTAGTACGATCTTGATACAATTTGAATAATGATTGCCCGCTTGGCAACCCATTATCGTCATGATCAAACACGTTATAAAGTCCAAATTGTTTCGGAAAAATATACCAAATGACGTCAATTGACATTTTGGCAGTGTTTAAAATATCTGTAAAATATCAGTATTTATCATCAATGAAATTTCAG